CTGAACTAGAGCTAAAAGTTTCAGTTGTAATGAATAACATGAAATTCCAAGATGAGGAGAAAATTTTAAAATCCAGATACTTTTTTGTGAATATTTAATCCATAATCACTGCCCCCCCCGACACATTTTCTAGAGTTTACCCCTCTTCATCTAACCCTATAAATAAAAGAAATTCATCTGGAGAAGAGAAATGTCATTTTCTTAAATAGAATATTAAAAAATTAGCCAACAGCCTTAGCAGTTAAGCAAAAGTAGTAGCTAAGGAAATCTTAATTTTTATAAATGGGAACTGATGTCTATTCTATATAAACAACATCTGTTTATTAAGACTAAAGTGTAATAATACCTAGGGGGTAGGGAAATAACTCAGTGGTAAAGCACCTGCTTAGCATGCACAAGGTCCTGGGTTCAATCCCCATGTACCTCCACTAAAAAAATAAATAAACCTAATTACCTCCCCCTCAAAACAAAAACAAAAATAAGACTAAAATATAATACCTAACCATAATGTACTAATATTATAGCTATAATATAACATCTATTTTTCATGGAAGGCTTACAGAATTAGTTTTATTACTTTAAAGGCACTCTAAAAATGCTTGTAAGTTTTTAAAAAGCAGATATAAATACATTTATAATATAAATATAATATGTAAAATAAAACAGAGTAGAATAAAAATATATTACAGTGCTATCAGTGATTATCTTCAATGGTAGGATTCTGAGCATATTTTTCCCCTACTTTCTAAATTTTATTGTGGAATCGTAACTATGGTAATGACAACAAATAAAAATTTTAAAGTCACATGAACATTGGCTAAAGTATATAAAGTTTAACAATATGTGTAATAACAGCTATTATACAGTATTAATAATTGAATATGAAAAGTAAATGATTTACATAAAATGTTTATAGTTATTAACTATGCTTGCATATTCAAGCTACATTTTTTGTTTATTATTACTTTTTATTTTGAGATATAACATTGTGTAAGTTTAAGGTATTGATTCAATTCACTTATATACTGTAAAATGATTACCACCATAACATTAGCTAACACCTCCATCATCTCACATAATTACCACTTTTTTGTGGTGAGAACATTTTACATCTACTCTGTAGCAATTTTCAAGTATATAATACAGTATTGTTAACTATAATCATCATGCTGTCTATTAGATCACCAAACCATTCATCTTATAACTAACAGGTCTGTACCCTTTGACCAATATTTCATTTTCCCCACACACCCCCAGCCCACCATTCTGTTCTCTTGTTTCTATGAATTTAGTCAAGCCACATTTTAAATTTCTCTTCTTACTCTATTAATTCTTCAATATATAAAAATAGTTGATTTCTGTAGTTTTTTACTTATCACTCCTACCTTAGATAAAAGTAACAAATCTGAAGCCAAGTATCCCTGAACAACACATCCTCCCTGGACCCATCTACTAAGAAATAGACAGCTAGAAGGTAGCAGAAATCTGGCCTCAGTTATGGATGTTGATTGTATAGAGACAGATCCTGGCAGGAGGCAGTGACAAAAAGCCTTGGAGCTTACAGATAGTTAGCCAGTACCTTGAACCTGTGCTCAGGCAGGAAAGATTCTAGAACTGAAAAGTTACTACAACTAAAAAAAATTAAATTAAATCAGCACTACCTAGCAGCTGCTAGGGAAGGGACCTCAACTGACGATCTTTAGGACTCACTCGGGCTTCTTTTTTCCAACACAGTAAATTAACTGAAGCAGATAAATTTATCTTCAGCATGAACCTGAGGCTTAGTGTGATTTCAAGACTTAGGATGGCTTCCTCCACCTCCCCACAAAGCTTCTCAGTAACAGTATTTGAAATAACTTTATCAAGAAATAAAGTTTTCATTTCTAAGTGGAGATAAAAGGCTAACATTCAACTGGCAAAACAAACAAACAAACAAACAAACAAACAAACATCAGTATAAGTGAGCTCTAGTCCACATAAAATACCAGATTCCAACCTATTTGAATACAAGGAAAGGATTACAAAGCAAGAAGCTCACTGGTTCTTTGAGTGGGTCAAAACAAAGACTTGAAATGGAAAAAGTAAACAGATCAGAAAGGAAAACTAAAGAAAAAATTTTCCTGTATCATAATTTCACTTTCAACTGATTGTCATGTGTTTTCTTTGTTATGAACCCAAAGGTACTCTTTGTTTAGTGTGGCTGCTCCTGGTCACCACAGCGGGATTCTCAGATTAACTTAATGTAAGATCAGGTCCAAAGTTTGATTGTGCAGGGTATTCCAATTCTGACAATAAAACCAGGGTATGCTATAGAAAGGCATGGCCATACTCCCTCAATTTAACTTCAAAAGATTAGAGATATGGAAAAGAAAGGGATTGCCTAGGATGAGCTTTTAAAGGAAAACAAATATTTAAAAAAAACCAAAAACCTTACTTCTGGAAAATTTTGATTTCAAATTTTCTTTCAGTAGTACGTAAAAATAAGGTGAGCTCTCAAAATAAATCAATGTATACTAGAATGTTAATTTACTTTCTCAGGCATTAAAAACCAACTCCCAATCCTTTTATTTTCAAGAAAATATTAACTACCATAAGGGTTTTTCTTTTTAGAAACTTGTGTAGTAATTCCTTTGTATCAGATATTAATTTCAATGAAAAGAGCTAAATATGGATTTTACAATTTGTCAAGAAGTTTGTTTCAGCAGAAATAGTTCCCAAGATGCCAAAGTCATATTAATGAAATTCAATCTCAAGAGTCCAAGCTTCAGTAGCTGCACTAAACCCAAAAGTTGCAGTTATGAGTTCAAATCAAAGCCTTTCTCTCTGCAGAAGAGTATCATATAAAATTTCAAAACATCTCAAGATCTACTTCAATACATATAGTACAATGAAGATTTTTACTCAGTATACAGGTTGTCATTTTCTATGAGACATACTAGCAAAAGCCATAGGATTTCTTATTCAACTGATCTATTACTATTTAATAAGAAATATACTTTGATGACAAGCAGAAGCATCTGTAAAAATTGCAAGTTGAAAGCGGCACTGATAGTGAGCCATCTTCTGTATCATCCAGCACTCGCCTGTGAGTCAAAAAGAGTAGACTATGGACACAAATGCAACAAAAACAAATGTGGCCACCCAGGAACAAAATTTCTAACAGCAAATCAAAGCTGTATTAAATCAATGATAGTAAAAAATTAGTAATTGCTATTTTGGGATTATAACACACAAATAATACTTCCTAATGGTTTTACTAGGTAAGGAACAAAACTTAAATTACAAAGTCAGCTTAGGTTGGCTTCTTCAAGAGGATATTAAAAATACATTACCTAATTCTATCTAGAGAGGTTCAAAATGGTTATAAAGATACATTTTTGAAATAAGGGAGCATGTGTTACCCACATATATAAACTTTGAGCCACTACATGCAAAGTTTTAAAATATATAATATCATAACCAAAGAGTGTGAGGGAGAAGAGTGGTCCTCAGACCCCAAACTCCAAAGGTGTGAAGTAATGTAAGCAGAGCACAAAGCTTGTTCTCCTGACCTATTTTTCATAAAATCTTTAGTCATCTCCTGTCTCTTCATCTAAGTGAAAAAAAATTACCTGTCTATCTATCTAATCATCTATCTCCAGGTTTCTTCCTGGTTTCTTTTTGTTCTAGGTTTCTTTGTTCCCAGGGTATCTGAAATGTTAAGCTTGGATGACCTGTCCAAAGCATCCCTAGACCGGAATGGAATATTTTAGCAGACTGGACATAGTACAGAGGGGTCATCCCTTACCTTTTCCCTAGAAATTTGATGGTCTCCAAAGCTACACCTCAGTTTTCTTTGAGGAATCTTTTAACATTTCATTGCATGAACTCTGTCTACAGCACAAGATTAAAATGTGGATCTCAAATTTTAACTTGCATTTATTACATATGAAGCAACATAAAAATTTTTGATTATATCTTAAGATAAAAGGATAAACGTTTTGCCATCAGAGGAGCTGTGTTCAAAAGTTCTATTCCATTTAGCTGTCTAACTTGAGGATTTAATTCTTGAGGATTTTAGTGACCTTTACCTTTAATCTGTAATTAAATGATATGTTGCTCTGTAGCTTAACCTGAAAAAAAAAAGTTTTCATTTTACTAAAGAACATGTAATTTTACTCCTATTCACTTTGAGCTCGATCATAAATAGAAAAGAAAAATCCTTAAGTTATGTATACCACACCACTTTCCAAAAAGATTAGAGCTACATTCTGATGTTTTAATACTCATTTTAAATCTGCAAAAGAATATTCATTTTGTATTATATATAGTATAACAATTTTCAAAGGTTTTGAAGTTTGAGTTGAATATTGCTTAATGGTATGTTTTATCAAAATCTTACCAGAGGATTTTTAACTCTATATTAAGAAAAAAATGGTTTGAATCAATTAACGTCAAATCAAAAGTAACTGTTTACCAAGCTCCCACAAGATGACAAATACTGTACAGGATTCACTGCTGTAGTCACTGTCCTCTAGGAGCAGTATACAAGAACCCCAGGACTTTAAAAGTGTACCAAAATATGACTCAAATTAAGGCTTACCACTTAATTTAATAATTAAAACAAAGCCTTGGATAGCCAGGAAGTCATACACAAAGAACTACTGTGTCTCATTTCTTGCTTAAACAATTTTCACCTAATTGTAAAATACAGCTAAAATATCACTACAAACAGGTTCTTTTGTCAACCTCAAGAGTAACTTTACTTTGAAAGGCTTAGATTGATTCATATTTATCAGAAACAGCACCATGAGTGGTGAAATGGTTATGCTAAATACCACCTCAAGCTCTAAAGAAAAAAAATTAAACTTTACATTTTGAAATAATTATAGATTCATAGGAAATTGCAAAGATAGCACAGAGAAGTCCCAGGTACCCTTCAGACAATTTCCCCCAGTAGGTACATCTTATGTAACTACACAACACCATCAAAGCCAAGAAACTGACATTGGTATAATGTGTATGTGCAGTTCTATGTTATTTTATCATATGTATAGGTTCATGTAACCACCATCGAAATCAAGATATAGAACTATTCTATCATTACAAATATCTCCCTCAGGCTGTCCTTTATAGTCAAATCTATCCTCCTTCCCCACTATTCCCGATCCTGGTAATCACTAATTTGTCCTCCACTCTGCAATTTTGTCATTTCAAGAATGTTATATAAATAAAATTATATCGTATATGACCTTTTGAGATTTTTTAATCAGCATAATGTATAGTTGCATGTATCAATATTTCACTTTTTAAATTGTTGAGTAGTATTCTGTGATAAGAATGTACTGTACTTTATTTAAGCATTCAACTACTGTGGAACATTTAGTGTTTGGCTATCACAAATACAGCTACTATGAAAAACTGTATACAGATTTTTACATAAATATTAGTTTTTATTTCTGTGGGATAAATGCCTAGGAGTGAGACTGCTGGGTTGTATGGTAAGCCTATGTTTAGTTTTTTAAGTAACTACCTGGCTATTTTCCAGAGTGTGCATGACATTTTCAATTATGTTTTAAGAACTTACTGTGTCAAAGTACTGAATAGTAGAGTATAAAATAATTAGAAAACATGAGAGCAGTCTCAAAGAATCAGAAGGCAAGGTAGTATCAAATGTAGTATAATAACTAGGAATTCAGAGATAATTCTTATGGTATGATCAGGGAAAGTTTCATGGAAAGGATTTTATCTGAATTAGGCATTGAAGGCTAAGCAAAACTTCAAATAGGTAGAAAAGGGCATTTCAGATAGAGGAGGTGGCATAAGAAAAGGCACAGAGGCAAGAAAGCATGAGAAATATGATGACCTCACCAAAGTACTATTCAGCTAATGCATATGATACAGGGGAAATAACAGCAAAGAAAAGGATGGGGTAAAAAAGGCTATGGAGGGCACTTGAGCCCCAGGTGGAGTCTATTCTTCAATCTGAGAGCCAGAGACCTTCAAATATCAAATGAAAGTTTATCCATAAACAAATAACTAATGAAAGCAGATCTTCTCTAGCTGAAGCAGAAGTGGGAGTCTAGGGGTCCCTCCTCCTTTTCCCCTAGAGTCCTGGAGGCTTCAAATAATGAAGCTTAAAATATAATGTTGATATTCAGGTGTAAAAAGGAATTAGACAGTGGTATATGGATGAGCCTTGAAAATATTATATATGATTAGTGAAAGAAGCCAGTCACAAAAAGACAAATATTATGATTCCACTAATATGAAGTGTCCAGTTTAGGCAAATCCATAGAGACAGAAAGTAATTAGTGGTTGCCAGGGGCTGAAGGTAGGAAGAATGAAGATTGACTAATTATTAATAGGCACAGGGTTTCTTTTGGGGGGGTGATAAAAATGTTCTGGAATTAAACAGGGAGATGGTTTCACAACATCATGAATATACTAAAAACCACTGAATCTCATACTTTAAAAGGGCAAATTTTATGGTTTAGCAATTATGTCCATTTTTAATGCAAAAAGAAAAATAAAAATGCTGAGGGTACCAGGGGGCACCATACAGAAAACTGGAGATAAAATAATGGACAGACACTAGGCACTCAAGTATATTATTTAGGAGAAGCAGTCATGTTAATAGGCAATTATAATATAGTAAAATAAATGCTGTTATTGGGTTCTACAGACATGATGGGAGAACTTAGTAGAAGCATTTAAATCCATCTTTGAGGGAATGAGAGGAGGTTTCTGGAGATGATGATAGCTGAAGTAAGTCCAGTAGGAAGAGCAGAGGTTACCAGGTAGAAGTAGGGAGTGGGTAAGGAAACGTGTCAAAACTTAGAAGTGAAAAACACTGCACATCCCAGAAACTGCAAGCAGTTCTAAGCAGATGGAACAGAGTCAGGGGTAAATGGTAAGAAATGGGTCTAGAAAGGTAAGCAAGATGGGGAGGGTATAGCTCAGTGGTAGAGTGTGTGCTTAGCATGCACAAGGTCCTAGGTTCAATCTCCAGTACCTCCATTAATAAATAAATAAATAAACCTAATTGTGCCCCACCCCCCAAACCAACTAACCAACAAAAAAGAATTCCTAAAAAAAAAAAAAAGTTAAAGCAAATTCCACATTACGAAGAGTCTTGCCAGGAGTGCAGATACATTCCACTGGCTATGGTCAACCTTTAAAGGACTGCAACAACGTAGTGAAATCCAATTTGTATTTTAAAAAGGCAACCTGGCTTTACTGTGATGAGTGGAGTGGGCCAGAGGGAAGTGACTAGAGAGAGAGACCAGGTAGGAGAGTGGGGGACTACTGTTGTTTTTCAGGTGAGAGAAAATACTGGTTTAAGCCAGAGGCGGGCAATCTATGGACTGTGAGCCAAATCTGGCCTGTTGCCTGTTTTTGTATGGATGGCAAACTAAGGATGGTTTTTACATTTTTAAATGGTTGGAAAGAAAAGCCAAAAGAATATTTCATTAATTGTATGAAATTCAAATTTCAGTGTCTACAAATAAAGTTCTATAGGAAACAGCTGTACCCATTCATTTCCATATTGTCTATGGTTGCTTTGGGACTACAGTGATCATGATATGGCCTGCAGAGCCTGAAGTATTTACTATCTGGCCCTTTCTAGAAAGTTTGCCAACCTCTGGTCTAAACACAGAGAACAGAACAGAATGAGAATGAGAGATAACAGAATGAGAACAGAGAGATAAGTATATGTAATAGATATTAAAGGGGAAAAATGAATACTTACTAATTGATTAGATACAGGAGTAAAAGAAGAAACATTAAGGATGATTTTACATTTCTAAAGTAGGAGGACGAGATGAGTAAGACTGCATAATAGGGAAACACCAACAGCTATGTGATCTACTGACCACTGAGAACTGCTCTCTAACTTCTAATTAGCCTATGTCTATTTTCTTTCCCACTCCCTTTACAGTAGTTCCTCCAATCTGTGGTTTCACTTTCTGTGGTTTCC